CCTGCGCCCGGGCACAGTGGCCTCCGGTGCCCACTGCGCCTCTCATCCTCGGGGCTGCACCGGCCGCCCTCGTGGGAGATGAGGGCTCAGCATGAACACGGGGAGCAAACCCAAAGGCGCTCACCTGCCCAATGGGATTAATCCCAGCATGTGCATGTACCAGGTAAGCGGGACGCAGCGGGTCTCTTCCCCAGGGCACTGCATGGGGGCATTCCACGGGCCTCTCCCATCCTCTTCCTCCTTGTCTGTGAGCCCTTCTGCCCAGCTTACTGCAACGTGTCAGACCCCATTGGGATGGGATTCAAGCTGGATTGCTTGAAGAAACCCTTTTTTTGGGGCAGGGTTGAGCACCCAGGCTCATCGGTGGCCACCCACGAGGCTGACAGCCCTTCCCCAGTGTCACCAAAGAGCCAAGCTCTGGCTGTGCAGAGGACGTGCTGCCTGGGGAGGTTGGGGTGGATGGTGGCTGGGCGATGTGGCACGCTGCATCCTTTCAGGGCACAGTGGCAGCTGGATGCCGCTGTGTCGGCATGGGATCCAGAGTGCCGGCAGAGCCATCGATGGGGCAGGCAGGGATGCTCCAGGGAAGCTCCTGCCTGCAGCTCCCGTTCCCCCTTGTCCGTGCGGGTCTTGGTTCCCACATGGCCAAGCCACCCCACCCCCAGTCCATGGGGGCATCCCTCAGCCCCCAAAAAAGCAGAACTCCAGGGTGATTTCCTGGGGAGACTAAGCTGCCTTAATACTTCTTACATGATTTATTTATTCATGTGGGAGTGCTGAACGCAACTTAATCAGGCTGAAAGCTCTCGGCTCCAATCCCTCTGCCCTCCCTGCTTGTGCAGGGGGCATGCGGCAGAGGACCAAGCCCTGACTGGGATCCGAGTGCCCTCAGCAGCCCCCTGGGGCCCTGGCACGGCTGCCAGCTACCTCCTGCCTGGCTGCTCAGCTCAGCTTCCCTCCTGCTCTCCTGGGTGTAGGTGCCACCCAGGGATGGGACATGCAGGGCTCCAGGTGTATCCAGATATGTTCGCGGAGCAGGGTCCTGCGTGGGATGGCACTTCTCGCTGCCCTGCCAGGGCTTGGGGGTTTGGCAGAAGTCCCTGTCCCCAGCTGTGTCAGGAGGAGAACAGGCTCCCAAATTTCACAGGGGCTGCTGTGCTGAGGGCTACCAATGGCCGTGGAAACCTCCCGCAGTTCTTCCTTCCAGGCCCCGCTCTGTTGCACCTTTGCTGCCTCTTTGGGCTACTTGGGGCTGCCTGGGGAGCTGACAGCTGGGCTTTTTGGGGTGGGCAGACTCCCTAAGACCCCCTGAGCTCCCTGGAGGTCCCCAAGGAGCTGGGAAAGGTCCTGGCATCAAATGATCACCCCAAATTCCTCTCATTTTACTTAAAAATATATCTTGCAAAAAGCAGCATGAAAATAGGAAACCTCAGCAGCTCCAAGACGGGGGAAAACACCCACTGGGTGAGACCTTTAAAGTGTGTCAAGATTTTGGGGAAGGATGGAGGAATCTGGCAGCTCAGTGTCGAACCGTTGGACTGGTTGTGCTCCCACAAGACCAGGGTGCTGAGATGTTGGATTCCTGCTTGCTCAACTGCCCGATGCTCCTCCCCGAGCAATCCTGGGTGGAAATACACATCGTGACCGCATGTTGAGAGGGGAGTCACAGTGTCACAGTGCTGTGGCTGAGATGTCCAGGACGTGCCGCTGCACTGCTCGGTGCCAAGGGTGGGTGATGGTCGAAGCCTTGGGTTTACCCGGCAGGATTTAATCTTTGTAATCCCATGCTACACACTGCTGGGGTTGTGTTTATCCCCTCGACTGTGACTTAGGGCTTTCTCGTACTTTTGCACCGCTCCTGGGACAGCAAGGAGAAACTGAGGTGATGGGTCTGCCAACTCCCAGCACGGACAGACATACGGACAGGGCTCCATCCCTTGCATGCCGAGTCAGCAGCGCTGATTTCCCGGCATGGGCATCCTTCCCACATCACCCCCCATTGCACACCTGGCCCGTCAGGAGCAATCACTCCAATTAGGAGCTTTAAAACGCCATTAATCCCACAGCTGGAGCCAGTTT